GGGCCATTGCAAACGATTTTGAGCCATGTCATTCAACTTCTCTGACCATCGGTGGCTATCATCTCGCGGATCATAATCAGGTAGTCTACACCTATCAACATGACTCAGTCCATTTGTCAGTGACTTCATGGACTTGTGCCATGTTTGGTCTGGCCGCCCCTAGCTTTCTTCCAACCTACTCTTACACCATAATACATCGCTCATCGGGGCATTCGGTGGTTGGGCATACGTAACACATGTTCCAGCCATCTCAACTGATCAAGTTTAACTACTTCATCAATTGATTTGCCATCCTTACCTAGTAACTGTTTACTAACAACTGCATTACTTACTCGATGGTCCCAGGGTGTATGAGCAATGCTTCGAAGACACCTATGATCGAATAATAGTAACCTACGAATATACTCTACTCGTACAGGCTCTCTACTCGAACACAACTGGTCGAGTGAGAGCTTATGGCGAACTGTCATCAGAATTGATTACTTCAAGTAATGTTCGTCAGGGCTGTCCACTCTCTCCATTCTTGTTTAACTTTGTCGCTGACGTGCTTTTAGAGATAACACTTTCCTCATCTAAATTTCCAGGAGTTGGACTTCTAGCAGGAGGTCCGCTTGTTGACTTAGAATATACTGATGACATAGTTCTATTTGGTGAAGACGCTGACAGAATGCAGTCTTCTGACCACTCTAAACGACAATGCAAACATGTTCGGGATGCGATTCCCCCCCTCGAAATGCAGAATGTTGCTTCAGGATTGGGTTGCGTCGTTTATTTATTTGAACACAAATATTGGTATAAGGGGGCACCAGGTATATACGCGCCACACAACAACAATGAGAATGGGAAGAGAAAAAGAATGTAAGGTGTGTATAAGAGAGAAGGAAAAAAATGAACAATAACGACCACAGATTAGTGTATGGTAGTGTAATATTAATGATAATAATAGTGGGGGAAACGGAAAGGTACAACCAGAAGAAATCTTCCAGTTAAGGAAGTTACAATCATTTTTTTATGAAAGTAAAAGAAGGTTACAGCAGGATCGCCACTGGCTTCTATTCTGAGCCATATCTGATAACGTCTCTAGCCACTGTGTTGCACCATCTCTAGAACCCCAGCCAGGGAGTCGTGAAGGACCAACACAAGCCAGTTTTTTGCAGCTTTCTTTCATCCCACGACATCATGTCATATACTGACCACCTCTCCGCTTTTTCCAACCAGTCTCCGCGTCGGCAAATAATGCACGATGTGGAATTCCCTGGGACGACATTCGGAGAACATGTCCAAGCCACCGAAGTCGGTGTTTCAAGATGGTGACATCGATTGCATTATCATCTCTGTGCCCGAACACACGATGCCGAACCTCTGCATTACTGACATGGTGTTGCCACTGGACCTCAGCAATCCTTCGGAGACAACGATGATCAAACACAGAGAGTCGTTTAACGTCCTCAACTCGGAGAGGCCAGGTTTCACAAGCATAGAGCAAAACTGATCTCACCGACGTGCTGTAGATCCGACCTTTTACAGTCAGACTGACATCACGAAGGCGCCAAAGGTGGCCCAGATCGGCATGAGCCGCTCTGGTTTTCACTATACGTGAATCGATCTCATCACTCACGCCACCACCAGCACTGATGCAGCTACCTAAATACACGAACTTATTGACTACTTCTATCTGCTCACCATCCAGAGTGAGTACAGGATTAGAATCCTGCCAGTCTTGTAGAAGTACTTTGCACATCGAAGGTGCAAAGCACATACCATACCTACGGACATTGATTGCCAACTGATTGAGTGCGGATTGCATGGCTTTGGCAGTATCGCACAGTAAGACAATATCATCCGCATACTCAAGGTCGATGAGTCTTCCTCCAGGCAATAGATCTAGACCGCCATTACTTACATCCATCAGAGCCGTTTCCAGAATGTCATCGATGGCAAAGTTGAAGAGGAATGGTGAGATTGGGGAACCCTGTCTAACCCCACTGCTTGAATGGGACAGTGGAGAAAGGTGGTTGTATGCCCTCACTCTGCTTGTGGTGTTTGTATATAGGGCTTTTAGGATGTCCTTTCTTATAAACTGGCACAATCATTGATTGAAACTAGTCAGATGGGATTACGTCCAGTTCCAAGATTCTACATAAGACATCAGTCAGTCTCACAGCTAATACTGGACCACCATCCTTAAAAATCTCAGAGGTAAACCTGTCAGAGCCTGCTACTCTCCCACGCTTCAGATTTCCTATGGCTTTTTCAGCTTCGTAAAGAGCTGGAGGACTTACATCAACTTGACATTCAGGCCGACTGAAGATCGTGGGAAACAGAAGTGTGACTGGAGGCCAGTTGAACTGATCCCTAAAAAGTTTTGTTCATCGATCCGAACTCCTGGATTCAGAATGTATAATATGTCCATCTTTTCCCGAGATACTCTCGCTAACAGTTGGATTCCTAATACCAATTTCCTTCACAAGTCTGAAGAGTTGTTTGCTGTTACTTATTGCCGCCGCCTTTTCCATCTCTTGCATTTGCTACCCACCACTGTTCACGACCATTGCATAGGCTTCTTGTCAGCTTGCGCATAAGCTGACTCCGCCCTTCGTCATGTTCACAGCCAGATCGGATGAGTTTTCGAGCATCTATCAGTGAAGTGGATGATGCCGAGATTCAGTGTTTCTCCTTGACCTTGTGGTTTACCGTACTAGTAGATATCACTGCTGTTTCCACAGCTTTTCGAATATCATTTCACGCTGCCTCGGGGTGGGCATCACCTATATGGCTGCCTAACTGATTTTATAGTTGTTCCTCAAATACACTCTTAGCTTGACTATCATTAAGTAGGACCCTAAGAGGTTTCCTTGCAGTGTCTTTCCTACGTCCAGTAAGAAGTAGAAAAATACGCGCTCGCACTAGAGCATGATCTGAATCTAAGCATGTGTTCCAGAACGACCGATAGTCTTCTATCGAGCCCCTTCATCAGTGGCTGATAACGATGTGATCTATTTGGGTTCAACGTTGTGACGAATTCGAGGGTCGCCATGTCAAAAGATTTTTTTCCTTATGCCTAAAGTTAGTATTTGCAAGAAACAGGCGGTTATCTGAGCATAGCTGTAACAGACGGTCGCCATTATCTGTTCTTTGAGCCACGACACCATAAGATCCACCCAAGTGTCTTTCCTTTTTGCTTAGTTTACCTACTTGAGCATTCAAGTCACCAGCCACTATTACTACATCAGAGCGCCTATCATTTTGAAAGAGGTCAGAAAGCTTTCTTTAAGACTCATCATCAGCTGCCACTACGTGAAAATATACGCTGTATAATCTCAGTATCAAGTAAATGATATCGACATAGAGTGGATGTACTTTCTTCGATTCACTGACAAAATACAGAGTTGTAAAACATTCTGTTATTAGAGTTCTCATAAGAACTAAGAAGTACTGCTTGGACTGTAACGATATAATTCAGAATGATATCGCGACAGGGATAGCCACAGTTGGTCTAACTCACTTTGACCTTGTTAAGTGTATTTATTTTGTGTGTCATAATCACTAACAGTCGCAAAAATTATCCAGGTGCACGATCTACTTGAATATTCTCAAATGCTAACCAATAAATATCAGAGCAAGAAGTCTTCTTTTCATTCTGTAGAAGTGCTTTACACTCGGACAGTTCTAAGTGTATGTCATATTAACTGATGCTTTTAACGGACTAAGTGCGAAAAGGATAGCTTGTGTGATTATACAGCAAAATACAATAACCCATATACAAAGCACTTCCTATTAGGACTTGGATCCAAATTATTACTACCAAATAGTTCCATTAAGGTTGTTTCCAGAACATTGTCCATGAGAAAATTAAGGGGGAATAACGCAAGCGAACAACCCTATCTAGCCTTATAAAGACAGATCATTTAGTCCGATAGCACTTTAATACATGGAGTTACTATTAGACATTTGGTTAGAAAGATAAGTTGATATTACCCACTTATGATGGGTTGGTTTTAATGATTGGAGCAATGGATACGCCTTTCTACGTAATAAAGTGCTCCATTTAGTTCTTCAGACGTTTTTAAAGATTATTAATATGGGTAACAATAATCGAAGAAGTTGTCCGACACGTTTCCTGATGTCAGTGGGTTGAATATACGATAACGGCTTACGTCAATTACGGCAGGTAACCTTTCCTACTACTTCAATAGTGTTTAGGCCGCCAAATCTCGTAGGTTTCGTAGTGTTTTGTTAGGCGGAACCATGTACATTGTTGCACTTACGATCGACCGAATCAGACAGGCGGGCGCCAGTACGTTCTAGAAAGCCCACATAAACCAGATTTATGATGAAACTGCAGCTGATGGCCATCTTAAATATAGATAGGCAAATATGTGAATGACTAGTTAGTCACAATTTTAGCATCAATACAATGAATTATAACGAATAGTGAGTTGGCGAAATTAGCATCAACGGTAAATGTGGACTTAAACAAGGTAAAACCAAACTTTCTTCAATATTTATAGGGCATCAGGATGTCAATATAGGTTAACAGGCAACAGGGATCGGATGTATAAACTCAATAAAAATAATATTTGTATAATGGTTTTGATACAATCAGCTGTGAATATAGTGTCAGTTGGTGACGAGTCGGCTGAGAATAGTAACTTTTTATTCTAGCAAACTGATATTTCGCAAAGTCAATGTGAAAAACTGTGTCGTAGAGTATATGAAAATAAGTCAGTTTAAGGTGATGTGACAAGAATAAGTCCCGGAGACTTCACTTTGCTGGCAAAGTTAATGAAAATCAAGAAGTTCTGAGAGAATTAATGGTGTTAATATAATCGTTTCAGTTATACCAAGACCAAAAAGATAGATCCTTGTATTGAAGATAGGGTCAAGGTGAAGGGACGCATTCTCTTTCCTACTGTTATAGGATACACCAGATACGAGCAAAAACTTTATGATACTTATCGGTATGTACTTAGAAATACAGTAGGACTAGTTAAACTTACAGTGAAACCCCCACTCTGATGATATTTGTAAATGTCCGAGAAAAACTGATCCAAATTTTGGATATGATCCCATGCTCCTTTTCTGTTCTGGAAACTCTGAGTTCCTCTTAGATTTGGATCTGGGTGTGAATGGTCATACTCATTAACCAAACATTCATATTTCCCTTGGCCAACGGGAAACATCTTGGCTCAAACTAACATCGTAACAGCGCCAATGGAATTGACAAGGTCAAAATAGTGAGCTTTCGATCTTCAATTTTCAGAGATATGTAGAGCACGTCAGTATATTATTTGTCCAGTCAAATGCCTAACTGATGAAAATTTCGGCACAAGTCTGCTGCACAGAATTTTCGAAAACCTAATATATTTCCGACGGATGAGTACTCATTTACTTACGTCTGTTACCCTTCATGGAGGTGCACAGGACACTTAGTAGGATTTCCCATTGAACTATATTTTGGCAATTTCTCCCAGTTTTAACTAGTTGCCATTCGTTCTTTGAATGCTTACCTCCAATTCCCAACTAAGTGTGTTCTTTGGTCTTCCTCTTTTCTTTTTACCTTTAGGATCCCATGTCAGAGCTTGCCTCTCGATGTGGTTTAATGATTTTTAAAACTTATTTTCTATCCACCTCAAGCGGCCTCTTCTACTGTCCCCTTTACTTTGAAGTTGGTTTGTCCTCCCCCACGTTAGACTGTTGCTGATGGTATCCGACTAACGAATAGTGAGCGCACGCTGTGAAGGAAAGCTTTCTCATCGATGTCACTAGGTCTTTGGTAACAATAAAATTACATTGAATCATTACAAGACATCATCTTTGAAACTAAACATACACTAGCACTGAAAATTCTCACTGGTCGTTGAATACTTGGTGAAACAGAGTGAAGGTCAATAAGTATCAACAGGAGAAGAATGATCAGTGCTCCGTGGCTCAGTCATACAAGCATGGCTCCTGTATATCCTTCCTTATTACAATAAATATATTATTCATCCACCAGCACGAATGTATCATTCAAAGGTTCACACAAATAATAGCAATGACTGCCACAATAGATCCTTCCTTTCAGTTGGGAGTAAACAACTTTCACTGGTTCTACACACTTCATAGTACAGTGAAAGATGACGATATGTAAAGCATAACAGTCAAACCTACCCAGGGGACAATATAATGACGTTTATGTAAACAAATAAAACTACCAACTGAATCAATGAACTTGAATTTGTCTTTGTGTGTAGCCGAACATATAGTCAGACCCAATTCAACCCAGTTATAGTCAATTAAAGCTTCATCAGGCCCGCCCTAAGGATCGGTACACACATGTTTCAGTGCTGTGATTCATAAGTCTTGTTGGGGTCTTAATAACTTTAAAGAGTCAAATTCGTCAGTTATTTATCCATTTCTTATCACACTAATTCATTGCGTCGCACCACACTAAGCAGTACTCAATGTTTTTTCTAACCTTATTTATCGTAGACTTTGTTTTTGGCACATTTGCAAACCTAAGTGCCTTCAATAAACTTTTCATAAGCGGCACTATATTCCCACACAAACGCATTCACAAAATCACATGGACTTCGCTGGATCACACCACGCAAAACCAAATCGACCATATCTGCATCAACAAAAAGTTCAGGAGGACTATAGAGGACGTGAGAACCAAGAGAGGAGCTGATGTAGCCTCATATCATCACTTGCTAGTCGCCAAGATGAAATTGAAACTCAAGATGCACTGGACATCGGGGCGGACAACACCACAAAAGTCCAATACAGCTTTTCTTCGGGATACTGAAAGGCCCAATAAATTCAAGATAGCCCTCAGCAATAAGTTCCAGGCCCTTCACGATCTACTGGATGGTAAGGTAGCTACTATGGAGAGCAACTGGAAGGGGATCAAGGAGGCAATCACTTCAACATGTCATGAAGTTCTGAGCCACAAGAAGCACCATCACAAGGAATGGATCACTGTTGATACACCGGGCGAGATTCAAGAAAGGAGGAACAAGAAAGCAGCAATCAATACCAGTCGAACAAGATCAGAGAAAGCCAAGGCACAAGCTGAATACAAAGAAGTAAACAAACAAGTGAAGAGGAGTATCAGAACCGACAAACGTAAATATGTGGAAGATTTAGCAACGACGGCGGAAAAGGCTGCAGGAGAAGGAAACATGAGACAATTGTATGACTCGACAAAGAAACTCTCTGGAAATCGCCGCAAACCAGAATGACCAGTGAAAAGCAAGGAAGGCAAAGTAATCACCAACATTGAAGAGCACGAAACAGATGGGTAGAACACTTCGAAGAACTCTTGAATCGACCACCAGCAGAGGCACTGGAAGTAGACGTAGTAGCAACTGCAAGGATACTCCTCATTCTCTTCAATAAGATTTGGGATGAGGAACAAGTACCAACAGACTGGAAATAAGGACTTCTGGTCAAAATACCAAAGAAAGGAGATCTCAGCAACTGTGATAACTACAGGGGCATCACTATTCTCTCAATACCGGGAAAAGTCTTCAATAGGGTATTGTTGAACAGGATGAAGGACTCCATAGACGCCCAACTTCGAAACCAACAGGCAGGATTCCGTAAGGATAGATCGTGTACAGACCAAATCGCAACTCTACGGATCATTGTGGAACAATCAATTGAATGGAATTCATCACTCTACATCAACTTCATTGACTACGAGAGAGCATTTGACCGCGTGGACAGGACAACACTATGGAAGCTTCTTCGACACTACGGCGTGCCTCAGAAGATAGTCAATATCATACAGAATTCATATAATGGATTAAACTGCAAAATCGTTCGTGGAGGACAATTGGCAGACTCGTTCGAAATGAAGACCGGTGTTAGGCAAGATTGCTTACTCTCACCCTTTCTCTTTCTCCTGGTGATCGACTGGATCATGGAGACGTCAACGTCTGAAGGGAAGCGCGGGATACAATGGACATCTAAGATGCAGTTGGATGATCTAGACTTCGCAGATGATCTGGCTCTTCTATCGCACTCGCAACAACAGATGCAGGAGAAAACGACCAGTATAGCAGCAGCCTCAGCAGCACTAGGTCTCAATATGCACAAGGAGAAAAGCAAGAGTCTTCGATAAAGCACAGCATGCACCAATCGAATCACACTCGACGGCGAAGGTTTGGAAGATGTAAAAACCTTCACATATCTGGGCAGCATCATTGATGAACATGGTGGATCTGATGCAAATGTGAAGGCGCGGCAAAGCAAGAGTAGCATATTTACAATTGAGGAACATCTGGAAGTCAAAACAACTGTCAACCAACATCAAGGTCAGAATTTTCAATACAAATGTCAAGACAGTTCTACTGTATGGGGCAGAAACCTGGAGAACTACGAAAGCCATCATCCAGAAGATACAAGTGTTTATTAACAGTTGTCGACGCAAAATACTTAGGATCCGTTGGCCGGACACTATCTGCAACAACGTACTGGGGGAGAAAACAAACCAGATCTCAGCGGAGGGAGAAACCAGGAAGAAGCGCTGGAAGTGGATAGGACACACATTGATGAAAGCACCCAACTGTGTCACAAGGTAAGCCATCGTTTGGAATCCTCAAGGCCAAAGGAGAAAACCAAACAACACACTACGCCGAGAAATGGAAACACACGTGAGAAAAATGAACTAAAACCGGATAGAACTGGGACGGAAGGCCCAGGACAAAAAGGGTTGAAGAATGCTAGTTGGTGGCCTATCCTTCATTGGGAGTAACAGGCGTAAGTAAGTTATTTTTGGTAGGGGAGGAAACACGTTCCACTACTCGTTGCAGTGTACATGTTAATAAACGACAACAAACATTTAAGGGTGCTTAGTATTGCAATAACTAGATTCATGTATCTTAAGAAGTCACTTCGTATGCTAAAACGGTTAAATAAACGAGTCAAGTATTTAGATGAAAATGTAGGTAATTGTGGACACAATTTACCTCTGTATTGGCCGAATAAGCATTCTACAGTGAACAAAACTTGTCCAATTACTAGTTGGACACATTTTTCTGTTTGCATAAAAGGAGTAAAATCTATCGAACAAGGATTTTTTTAGTTATTTACTTGTCGATAATCAGTAATGTTTGGTGAATACCTTGTTATAGTACTTTGGTTATTATGATGTTGACTACGACAATAAGTTTTTTACCCTATCAATCTGAGTTCTCCTATTAACATTGGGATATACCAAATTCTTTGCAGTATTTGGAATAATTAAATCCGAGAAATCTTTAGAAACAATTTATTTTAAAGAAAATATTACTGTCTTCTTGTTCTCTTCCTAATAAACATTACAATCTATACATAGTTCACAAAAACAAAAATCAAGAGTTAGGTGATATCAAATAGTCTGCTGTAGATTTTAACAAATTTCTAAATATATATTTTATTCTTTGATTCATTCTGTCTACTTCATTCAATAATATTCGTGAATTATTTACATTGGTTTGATATGTTCGTATCTTGTCAATTTGATCATTGATTATTGAGTCATCTTTTAGAGAATCATCTATTTGTAAGTCTATTGGTTGTATGAATCTAAATTGAGCTGCGCTTAAAAAATCTGACTTGTATTCCAAAAGATTTTTTGTATAGGACAGGATATGATTCTGTAAAAAAAAGGTAGAACTTATAAAAACTTTTCGAAATGTATATATTATCAATTAACGTAAGGAAAAATATATTATTTGAACGGTTTAAAGTATACCACATTTGTTCAGTACATATAAATTAACATTTCAACTGGACACATTTATCTCTATCAGTCTGGTATCATTGTTGTATCGATTCCCATAATTATTTGACCGTATTTAATTTCGGTTAGTAAACATGTTAGCGTACAGGTTCACTCATCGGTAATACAGCTCTTGTTAACAGTTGAAGTAAGTTCTCGTGATGGACTTGTATCATTCTGAAGAATCGCTTAAAACTCAAGAGCGCTGAACAGATGTTGTTTTGGATTTGTTTGACGTACAAAGGACTATACACATATCACTTCTCTAGGGGTTTAACCACGGACCTCCGTGTTATATAGTCGTTCGGCAAAAAGGTAGACTTTAATCATATTATCTGTCATACTGAATGTATATCTATGTCGAAAGACTTATCAATAAGCGTTGAATTGTCTATCGCAATCCTTGAAGGTGAACGAATTGGTTTGATGTGG